CATGGAATAAAATGGGACTGTGTCCGGTAAAGGAGTGGTACTGCCTTTGGCCCCTATTGGGGATCTGAAGCTGAGATTTATCCCTAGGCCTACGCTGAAAAACATTGCCAGTAGGCTAAGCCTACATCGGTGAAACAGTTGCAAACTGAACCCAAACACGTCACCTCATTGCTGGTGTAGGGGTCCATGTTGCTGAAGTGGAGGTGGTCACAAAAGGGGCGAGGTCTTTGTGCAGTGAGATTGTTGCGTCGATGTGCATCTGTGGTGAGAACTGTGTCGATCTGGTAGTGATGGAAAGGCTGCTGAATAGTTATGATGGCAAGTCCAAGTGCTACTCTGATTCCTTGTTTGTCATGGAGAGGGATATTCGAGTCGAGGTTGTTCATTGTAAATCCTGTAGCTGGTATCCTTGAAGTAGGAGTGTTTTGTTGTCAAATGTGGATTTCAATGTCTTCAATCTGGTATCCATGGTGTCGATTTGAATGAGAGTGTTCTATTGCTCGAGGATGCTCAAGTGATGGAGTTTCGACTTGTTGAAGGTCAGTGAAAGGTCGCTTCTTGGTGAGGTCAATCTTCTGGAGTTTGCCATGCCAGGGTCGAAGTGAAGTGCTTCGGGACAGGCAAGGAGGCCTGCTCTGCTTGAGGTGAAGATCGAAGTTCCTGCTGGAGTCAAACAGTCCAAATCTGAGAGGTCTACGTCCGTAGCTGACGGTTCAGTGAGAAACTCTTCCCATCCTTGGTCTGCTCTGGGTTTCTTTGCAGGAGAAGACTGTCTGGTAGTAGCTCGATGTTGGTTTTTTCGATAAATGTGTTTCTAAATGACAAATAGTAACAAGTGAGGGCACAATTCAATCAACATGTCGTCCATGAGTCCATGAAAGTAAGCATTGAAGGGGAGGGAAACAGAAAAGGGCATGAAACTCGGGGCGTGCAGTACCAATTGGCATGACAGCATTGCTGACTGTGTGGCAAAAGCTAAAACTCGTGCCAAATGCGCATGCACAATACGATGCAGCAGCAATTAATTCCGGACCCTTTAGAATGCGAAACTTTTCGGGAAGAACCAAGGCAAACGAAATAAAGGGATCAAAATGATTCTGTGCCTGGTTCCCAAGTCAGCAACCTTAGAACATTTTTTCTTTTTAGCAACCAGGCCAAAAGCAGCACAATAATCCGATGGCCGCACAAATAGTTAACCAGGTTTGGGCCAGCCATCTTGCATTTTGGATCATTTTGGTAGCGCGATTTGAGGCAACATGTACATTTGCCAGAATAAAAAAGTCAATTCTTGGTGCTGGCTCTTGGTGTGGCTCAAGAATGGCATTTCCTTGTTTGTTGGCCTTCCGCCCACCGTCGGGGGAGATGCTGGCGAAGACGTAGCATCAAACGTTTGGTGGGTGTGGCACTGATAGTGCCCCATGCATTTTGGTAGCACGATTTGAGCTAATCAGGTTGACCGGTGCTAAAATGGTTTGAACTAGGACCCTGCACCTGCAATGTTACATTTGTTGAGGGCCTTCGATGAAATGTTTCACCTAACATGTTTTTTCATGTTTCTTCTAGGTATGTTGACCTGTCTTGGAGGCTATAAAGACCCCAAAAATTAGCGTTGCATTTTTAGGTTTCTTAGATCCATAAAGGATTACAGATGGTACTTTACGCTCTTGGACCCTTAGGGGTCCCTAGCAGAAGGATTTCCAAAACTTGCATTTTAACAATACAATAAATGTATGTTACATTTTTGAAGTCCCCCCCTCTAAGGTAGTGGGAGTTTTGAAGTCATAGAATCATATTGGATAATCTTGTGGCAAGTGGCTTAAAAATCCTACTAGGTGCATAGAGCATTGTTCCATTAGGATGCACATTGTTGTTTGGTTTTGGGGCGTTGTTTTTGTGCAGATTGAAGTTTGACCGCTGGATCTCGGTCACGGCCACGGGGAAACTAGGCGCATTCGATGCAGTGGTTTTGCAATCTTGAGTTTAATTTTACCGTGTCGAGAGGTATAAAGCCATGTAAAGAACATCCTGTGCTGTGAACTGTGATAAACGTTAATGCAATATCAAAAGAAACGTCCAAACATATCCCAACATCAAACAATATTTGCACAAAAACAGGACCTTGTCTGCCACCTGGTTGTTTTTGCGCAATTTGACTTGTAGATACCGAAGGTTTGACATACCCAGCCCACCCAAACATCCCAAACCCAGTCCAGCATACAGTTTTCTCTGGCATAGAACATTCCCAACAGCCGCTCAATTTTCTCGGTGTCACCCTGTTAATACATGTTAATACATAGGGATTTCACAACCACATTCTTGGGATCATAGCCGTCATAGCTCCCAAGTTCGAGTATATACTGGGTTTGCTGCCTTGCATCGATGCCTCTCTGCGCTCGATCTGTTTTCGGTTGTTCGCCTCAATGTTTTTCGTTTGCCTTCCAACTGGCCGCAACCGCATGGAAATTTCTCTGGCATGATCTGCTGTATTTCTGTAACTAGCGCCCGTTTCAGTCAATGCTTGAAAGGCATGTAATTAGTCATCATCGAAGGAAGTTTAGAAGTCAAACTTCCGACAATATGGACAGATGAAAAGCAGAGATGGGAAGAGTCAGAGAAGAGAAGAGCAGAAGAGAGAAGATGATAGGAGAGAAAGAGTCAGAAAAAAGAAGATGCAGATGCGCGAAAAGGTAGGAAAGTCGCGAAACACTCCGTTTTTCCAAGGATTCGAGGCTCCGGAGGGTCGAAAAGTAGGCTCGCTAAAGTGGCGGGTGCGGAGCCATCTGGCCAGATGAGAGATGAAGAATTGCACGCCGTTGTGGCGCGAAGCACATTTCGAAGTCAAAATGTACAAAGCACACCATGTTCGGACCAGATGTTGAAAAAGTGCACGCCGTTGTGGCGCGAAGCACATGTCGAAGTCAAAATGTTAAAAACACCAGGGGTTCGGACCACTTTTGGAGGTTCAGATGTCGTTTCGCCTGGCAGGCGCAAGGGATTGTGCACCTTGTCAAAAGTGAGCAAAACGTGAGGGTTTTGTAGCATTTTCAACTACAACCACCATTACACCACACTACATTCCAATACACTACACTACAACTACACCTTCACTACATTCCACTACACTACACTCCACTACACTACACTAGGCTCAATTACATTCAATTACATTCAATTGAACTACACTACACTACACTACACTACACTACAGTCCGCTACACTACACTACATTACACTACACTACACTACCTTCCACACTACACTACATTACACTACACTGCAACTACAGCTACACAACTACACTCCACTACACTCCACTACACTAAACTACACTACGCTACACTACATTACACTAGACTACACTACATTCCACTACACTACACTACTTTGCACTACACTATACTACATTGCACTACACTGCAACTACAGCTACACAACTACACTCCACTACACTCCACTACACTACACTACCCTACGCTACACTACATTCGACTACACTACACTACATTCCACTACACTACACTACACTACACTACACTACACCACACTACACTACCTTACCCTACGCTACGCTACGCTACACTACCCTACCCTACGGTATGCTACGCTACGCTACACTACACTGCACTACACTACACTAACTACAGCTACAACTTCAACTACACTACACTAACCACAACTACAACTACAACTGCAACTACAACTACAGCTACAACTACAACTACAATACTACATTTACAGTACGCTACACTGCACTGCACTACACTAATTACATTACACTACACTAGACTCCGCTACACTGCACTACACTGAATGACACTGCGCCACAGATAGGCAGGTAGACAGATAGACAGACAGACAGACAGACGGACAGACAGACAGACAGATAGATAGATCGACAGATAGACAGGCAGACAGACAGACAGCTAGACAGATAGACAGATAGATAGACAGATAGACAGATAGACAGCTAGACAGCTAGACAGCTAGACAGCTAGACAGCTAGACAGATAGACAGATAGACAGATGAAAAAGAGAGAGGGAGAGAGAGAGAGAGAGAGACAGATAGATAGATAGGTAGGTAGGTAGGTAGGTAGGTAGATAGTCAGAGAAAGAGATAGAAAGAGAGGAGACCTCAAGCACCTTTCGGTCCATCAGTGCATTCGCTCTGCCATCCCGGATTCACAACAACCAACCTCTCCTATAGGTTTCCTATTTTTGAAACTTCCGCCACCGCCTTGTGCGGTACTACTGGCAATATACACATTTTATGTCATCATTGCTTTGTTTTTTTGGGCGACCTGTACGGACCAAGTAGCAACCTGTCCACACGTTGTGGTGGGAAGGGCATGACAAATTGAGTTGCTCAACCTAGTCTGTGATCAGGGTCATGAACTGATGGTGCATTTTGTTTATAAAAGGGAAATAGGTAATTGAACATTCCCGTAGTGAAGGGTTTTGCCAAGACAAAACGCACACCAACAGAAAGGGTTATGAACAATGGCCTGGTATTTTCGTGCCAATTTTTAGGCCCAGGCATCTAAACTGCCATGTTCGGCCTCCTAGTTTCAAAACTAACCTGAACAGTATGGATAAAATCATAATGTGGGTGTTTGAAGTGATCCAGATTTGGGTGTCTGAAAAGACTCCTCAACCGTTTCTAACGCCACTGGATGTGACCATGACGTCAGATGCGACCATGGCAGGGTCCTTCACATGTTTTCACAGTGCAACCATGTATCGCCAAGGCTGCTGTGATCCTTGCATAAACATGGAACACACAGACAGCAACCCAGGTACAACAGTTTTTCGTTTGAAGCACGATGGACACTGAAATTTGAGATACTTTGACCACATCCATAGCTGCGATTAGGCGCGAATCATTAGCAACGCCAAGAACGATATATAGCATGTTGCAACATTTTTTAATGCTAGTAGTGTTGGCTTCAATACCGTTTTATTGCAGCATAATGTCTTGGCTGGTCGTACATCACATGTCCTCAGTCCATGAAGTATCAGACGTGCTCATGGCAATTGCGCCGCTTTATCCAAGCAGGCGTCACGACAGAACAGGGTTTCATGCCGGCAAAAAATGGGGGAAAACACAAATAAACATGTTTTTCGAAAATCATGACAAAAACGGCACTTCAGTCCTGCTGTGAATGGTCACACCCGTGCGTGCTGTCAGGAACGCGGCTTCAACAATCCAATTGGCCAACTTCCAAGCTGGGGGTTGTTGGGTTTTTTTTGCGGCATCAAAGTTATCAAAACAATCAAAACGAGAACCAGTGCCCAAAGTCTGACACCAGTATTGAATGGTTCGAAAACATAGACGGCCGCCTCGTGTGCCAATCCTTCTTTCCAGGTCTTTGGGCGCTCGTTTTGCCAGGTAGCGAGCAATCAAATTTGACATTTCCGCATGTGATTTGAGTAATTCGGGGGTGATGTATAATGCCGCCGTATGACGACTCTGTCAGGACATCCTCATCTGAGAGACCGCCTGACAATCCCTTCCCGGCGCGGTCACTACAATTCTTATGTTTCGGTGGGCAGGTGAGTTTTCATGCTTTGCAGTTTCTTAATGTTTCTTGTGGTTTGTTTGTGGAACGAGGATTTCAACAATGACCCTCAAAAACATCCAGCTTTGCCAAAGAGGCGCGGAAAGTTCAACATATCCCAATCTGCCGCTACAATCATGGTGCAGATTTATTTCGGCTCAGGCCAGTCTGGGACGACGACACTGAATGGGAAGCTGCCCTTCAGAAGGCTGGGGCATTGTCCTGTGACACTTGGTGAAAACACTGCCCCAACGTGACACCTGTTGTTGAAATTCTTGGTCCTAAGACAAGGGAACAGCGGAAGTAAAATCCGTTCGTCCTCACTAGCATGGCTTAATATTTGCTCAGGCCCAGGCTGTGCCATCGAAGAAGAAATTGGAGCGAAGTCAATTGGATGATTTAGGTTCGGGCCCTATCATCATTGAATCTCCACAGGAACGTTTTGGACGCCGCAGCTCATGCCCACATTCCCTTTGCGCAACAGAAGCGACAATAGGAAGAGCAATTCTATGTATATATATATATATATCTATATAAATAATTATAGCACGGGGGCACAAGTCTTGAGTTGCCAGACGTTTCCATTTTTGTAATTCATGTGTCAGCGCAAATGCTGCGAGATGCTGCCAGTACGAGCATGTGAATAATTATTCTTTGCTCAAGAATCCGTCTTTTAGATGTTCTTGGAGAGAGTTGATCATTTTCAATACAAGCAGGACCCAGCAATGAGCAAGTGTATGACTGGGGGATGAGCTCTATGAGATGCGGGTGAACATGTTTGAGCACGCCTTGACGCTGTGTGACGGGTTTTACGAACTTACGCGAATTGAAACATACTATGGTTCCTAGTGTGTCCATACCCAGGCGACTTTATTTTGTCTATCGCTGTGCGACGGAAAATGACGGGCTACGCACTCCTTCGATTTCGCGACCTGCTGCCGTTGCAGTTGTGGGCCAAGTTATGCCTGGTATTGTGTACCAAACGTATCCTGCATCCAAAATCCAAAGGTACGAAGGAAGTTGATCACAGAATGTAGTTTGCTATAGTTTGCTGCGGCGTTTAGTGGACATTGTGACGGTCACATGGTCCAGGTTTGGGATCGTGGACGTGTCCAAACATGGCCCAGATGAGGTTTTTGCCCAAGCTGGAGTGCGCTTGCGTAGCCCATTTACTAACCGTTCAGCCGCATGAAGGCGCAAAAGAAAGCCTTGGAAATTGCTGCAGCTTTGCGGGATTTACGAGAGGCGGATGTGAATTGAGTCACGATGAATGGAATGGATCGCGTCTTCAACCCCTTTTGGGTGTGGTATGCAAAGACGAGTGGCCGTTGCATGTGCTAAAGTAAGGAGGCAAAAACGTGATGAACTATTGAAAAGCAAACTCAGCTGTGCTGAAGGCAACACATAATTTAGATGAATAGCGTTGAACAATTGGCGATGAAATATGATGAAATGCTAAAATGGTATAAAATGATGCACAATTAAGGCAATGATAGAGCTGTGATGGCAACTGGTCAGGTGGCACCGCAAAAATTGATGCAGCTGGCCGCTGATGGCGAGGACACCGTACTGGTCCAGGGCACTGGTCCAGGGCACACCTTCAAAGTTGAAAGGTTGAGCTGAAGCCTCCACTAAACAAGAGTCATCTGCACAAGGTCTCAAACTAGGTAGCAGCAGCATTCACCAGTGTAGTATTGTGAAAACAGAACGGAGCAGCGACCAGGAAAAAACACCCTTGAGGTGGAAAAAAACCTGGCCGATGCCCAAAACCAGAGCCACTCATGGACCCAGGCCCCGCTGCACAAACCCCAGAGGCCAAGAGAAGAAAAATTAAGAGGCATGCAGGCCAAATGCCCGACACAGCTTGGCCGAGTCAGGGCCAACCAAAGATGGTCGGAAAAAGCAAGGATGCCTCTCACTGCCTCAGCACTGATCCAGGGCACAAAGGAAGAACATCAATGAACATAGACTAATAGTTAGACTAATAGTCTATATATTATATTATTTATATTATTTATTATATATATAGCTATATTAATATATGTTCATCTCTCTCTCTCCCTCTCTCTCTCTCTCTTTCTCAAGTCTCACCAGCTACAAGATCCTGACATACCTCCAAATATCATCAAATATCTCCACAAGGCAACCGGGGCAACTTAAAGCTGAGATTGATGGAGATATAGCACGATTATCAGGCATCAACATATTGTCTCGTGTCCTTCTTGCAACTTCACATGGATACCGCGAGCACACACATGCACACACACAGAAAGTTGTGTCTTCACAAAACCGTGTAGTTGGACAATTCCGGAGCCAATCTGAATCACTTGTAGATCGCGTTTTTATCATTGCATCACAAAGGTTCAAATGGTTCAATGAGAGTACAGAGACTCATGTTGACCATTGCGTGGCTTGCAGGAGATGGATTCCCTGGATGAGGAGATGAAAAACAGGCAAGCATTGGTGGAATGAGTTGGTGTTCGACAAGGGACTGGTTGAGACTGGCGTTCAGCAAGCGTTCCTTTTGACATCTTGAGAATTGTGAAAAATGATCACTTTCACGGGCAAAGGTGGCGGCGGTGGTGTTGTTTGCGTTTTTCCTTTTTGTTTTCCATGCTTTCCAATCACTGATCAAAAAATAAAATGTGTTGGATGTGTTGGGGTAAGAACATCGTCCAGTGGCTGCTTTTGCAGGCAATGGAAATGGATCGTAGCCTTGGACGACTCCACAGTTGACCGTGGCCCACCTGTGAATGCCCAAATCTCAGCTGATGCCTGGGCGGGTCAAGTAGTAAACATGTACACAAACACCTCACAATTAAGCGACCACGAGACAGACCTGCCCCATTGCTCGTTGCATCAGAGGAAACGAAACATAGTTTGTTTGTATCTTCATGTGCACTTTTTAAAGAAACGCACACATGATCACACATGCATGCAGGCATGCAGGCATGCAGGCATGCATGCATGCATGCATGCATAAGTACATACACATACACACACGTGTATATATATATATACATTTACACGCCATTACTACACACACACACATATATATATATATACAGAACCGCATGTGAGTATGCTTATTATATACACATATACACACAGACATCACACACACACAGATAATAACGAGTATCGAATCAAAGCTGTGAGGGAGAAAATTCTTGAGCCATCCATAACGAAGAGATCTTGGCACAGGCATGGTGAGGCGTTCGCTTGTGCCGTTTTTTTTTTTTGCGTCGCTTGTGTGACCCACAGGCATGGTATCAACTATATGCATACGCAATCAAAACATGTACCTGAATAATTATTTTCTTTCATTGTTCTCAGAAAGGCCAGAGGTTCAAATACGGAGTTGAGAATTTCAAATGCCTTAATTGCAAGCAAGTTGCGTAGGTGAACATAGAAATACATAGGGATGATCGGGCTTGCCTGCAGCATCAATCCGCGTGGTGCCGAAATTGAAACCTTCACCAAATTCTTTGCAATTTCCTTATGTTTGCGTTCGGTTTCACGTTCCTGGTCCGTTGGCCACCCCTAGGTCCGGGAGAACAAAGCCCAGCGGACCATTTGCATGATGCAGGGCTTGCTCATAGCGGTGCGCTCCGATTTGTTTTTGTCATGTCTCACTCTAGCCATAGTCGTTCGCTTTTGCAGGTTTAAATTGCCAAAAAGACAAAAGAGATTACATAGAGAGAGCTATCAAGAGACCTTGAAAACAGCACCTTTCGGAGTCGCAGAATGAAGCGGCTCACCAGGACTGCAAGAGGATCTTCAAGTCGGCCCCACAGGTGCTTAATCCGAGGAGGAGCTGGAGAAAGGGTCAAGGGTCACGCCTTTAGGGCGTTTAGGGTACAGCCCACACTTTCATGTTCCTTCACAGTGGAAGATGTCGTGACTTGGATTCGCCTGCCATGATCTGCAACCATCTGCAACCTATCTATTTGGCCGCCCGTGATGTGTGACTGCAAGGAGCCGACAAAGGCTTCGTGTCCGTGGTGGGCCAAGCCCACAAGTGAGGCGATGTGAAGCATGACATAGCGTCTTACACGTCCTTACACTGTTCGTTGTGTCACTAACGAGAGACTTTGGCACTCCGATGGCTGATGGGCGCGTCACTAGGGCAGTTTGAAATATGGGTCTCCAGGAAAGAGATCTTTGAGGAGGCCTGTCGCGAGGCGCGCAACACTGTGCATTCAGGATGACTGTTCTTGCCTTTCTTATCATATCTTATCATTAGCATCGGTGTAGAGGTATGAATTCAGTGAGGTGCATGCCACATCATGCCTGCATAGCTCCAGCATGATAGACGCAAAACAATTCCAAAGGTCAATCTTCTTAATAAAACTCAACAAAAAGACTTGCCAGCAAGGTTCCAGATTTTCCGGTGGTGCGCCACCGACCGGGGCACCCAGATAATCCAGCTGCATGGATGGAACATCATTTCGCTTGCATGATTTGCGTTCAGCTCAGAAGTTTAATAGAAGTTTGCTGATAAAGTTCCACCTTGTGTAGCTATGTTTAGCTTAAGGTGGTCTCGTGACTAGGTTTCGCTCTGAGGCACTGGCACCTTGAAAGAGGATACCTATCTCATGTCCGATGCCTGGGCCACAGCGAGGCGGGGCCAGCAGATCACAGATCTCACGTTGCTCACGCCATTTTTTTTGGTTTTGGTGAATCAATCGCCTCAACCTCCCTACCCTCGTGTAGAATAGCACCTTTTGGACACTTGCCCGTTGCATTGAACCTCGTTTGTGTTATGGAGGCTGGCACAGCGTGTGGTTTTGCTCGCACAGAAACGGGAAGATCCGAAGTTAATGGCCAGAATCCGAGAACAAGCCCGGTCACCAAACTGAGGAGTCAGGCCGTCAGGCGGTTTGAAATGGCCAACATGGGCATGCTAAGTATCCAGCCCCGAGATATCCTTTTTGTTGATTTTCTTAATACCCTTCCGTGGGGTGCTCCATAATCACTTCAAGGGGGTTGAGGCCATTTATGCTGTATATTTTTTTTTCCTTCAAAAAGGCATTTATAGTCATTTTTTTAAATAAATAGATTCATAAATAAATATATATTACAATATCACATTATGTACAACGTAATTATTTGGTTGGTTTACCTCGGACTCCCTGAATGGTCTTTTTGGTTGTGTGGTTTTCAACATATTCTGTTATTACATGGGCAGTAGGTTGGGAGTTAGGACCCTGAAAAAATTATCTCTGCCCGTGTCAGCTGGAATATCAGAGAGAGAGAGAGAGAGAGAGAGAGACGGAGGCTGGCGTGCACTACCCTCAAACCGCAAAAAGTCAAAAGTAGATGCCGTTTGGTTATATTTGGCTGTCTACTTTTTATTCCCGAGGGGTTCTTACGGTAAGTGTTAAGGCCCGGTGTTCAATCGAGGTGGTATCCGTCGCGTCCGGCATTTTCCTTGTAAATTTCCACACAAAGTGGCTCGTGTGAAATTTCCATGTGCATTTCGACTGCGCAGGCTCGCACAAAACGAGACATCTCATACAGAAATCTTGCCAAGAGACCTCTTATCAAAGGCTTGCTGTTGCACAGAGATCGAGACCTCTTATGAAGATCTTGTTCAGAGATCTTGCCAAGAGACCTCTTACAGAGATCTTTCCAGCAGCTCTTTTAGAGATCTCGTACAGACATCTTGCCAGGAGACCTCTTATAAAGATCTTGTACAGAGACATGGTTAAGAGAGCAGCGATCTTTTTCAGATATCTTTTTATAAGAGCTTGAACAGGATCTTACTTTGAGGTCCCTCACAGAGATCTTCTGCGGCAATCTCTTATAGAGAGATCTCTTTCAGAGTCTTGCCAAGAGACCTCTTATAGAGATCTTGTACAGAGATCTTGCGAGGACACCTCTTTTGGAGATTTTGTACAGAGACATCGCATAGAGATCTGTTGAGATCTTGCCAAGACGCCCCCTGCGGAGATCTTGCCAAGAGGTCTCTTACATACATCTTGCCAAGAGGGCTTTTATGGAGAGCTTGTACAGAGATCTCGTAAAGGGATCTTGCCGAGAGATCTCGTATAGATATCTTGGCCAGAGGTCATGCCAACAGACCTCTTCAAGAGATTTGTGCAGAGAGAGCTCTTATAGAGATCTTGTACAGAGGTCTTGCCAGGAGACCTCTTGTGGAGATCTTGTACAGAGACCTGGTGAAGAGAACAGAGGTCTTGCTTGGAGATCATTTATAGATAGCTTGAACAGAGATCTTACTTTGAGATCCCTTACAAAGATCTTTGGTGGAGATCTCCTATAGACACCTTGTACAGATAGCCTTACACAGGGATCTTGCACAGCAGCTTCTGCAGAGAACCTCTCAAGGAGATCTTGCGCACGATCTTCTACAAAGATCTTCACAAAGGGACCTTGCAGAATCTGACCTGGTATCTCTTCTTTTCACTACTAGGGTCGCTCTGGCCCTGCCAACTTGCAGCCACTGATGATTTTAGGTCCTTTCCACCTTGCTCTTTAGAATTCCAACTACTCACTGTTTGCGGCCTCTTGCCGGCATAATTTTCCTTGAGATTTACCGCGTGAACCTCCACAGTTCTATCAGCCCTGGCCATATTGAGGGATATTTACAAGGAAGCACAGAAGAGAAAGAGAAACGGTCATTTTGCTATTTGAACTGGTCTATGCAGCTGATTTTGGTCATTTCTATGGAGCCAAGTCTGACGCATTTTTGCATGATTTAGTAGCATTGATTTGAACAAAACATTGTAAAGTGAGAGGGCCCCCCCAAAACCGAAAACTTATATTTTTGCACCAGGCGCAAACAATCGATTTTGACGCCGGCTCAGATGTAGTGATTTATGCACTGAAGATCTTGAAACCATTAGCAAAAACCTGCAAAAGTAGAATCCTGGGGGTGCCAAGGTCCAAGGGTTTGCCTTCCCCGAGCCAGCTTGGCCCAAACAGAAGGCATAGCATACTTAGCGCAGGCATCCTCACAATGAAAACAATACAGATCACCAACAAACATCTCCACTAGTAAGCATTGGCACAACATCTCCAGAGCAGGATGGATACAACAACCACCCGCCTTTTGTTTATTGGATAAGATTACACCCTGAACCATGTATTTGTGGTTATTTGTGTGCCATTCAAGTGTCACAACAACCACAAAACCAGCACAAAACCAAGGAAAACACCTACAAGAAAATGACAAGAACATGTTTTTTTTTTTTTTTTTGGGGGGGGGGGTAAGCAAAAATGAGATAATGGATGGGTAGAAGAGGCATGAGAATGTTTCTTTTTCTTTGTTTCCGGAATTGCTTCCTGCACTTCCTTATGTTTGATGATGCTTCTTGTCATCACAGGGGGTTGGCTTACATTGAAGCCTGGTGGTTCCAGATGTTGGGGCCCTTGATCCAAACCATTGGCAATTGGTGTCACTGGACTCGTCGTGGGCCATGGAGACTTGTGACAGAGGCGTTGGACCGGGTCTGGAAGGGGCCGGCAGGAACTGATAGGGAGCCTGACAGTTATCGAGAGGTATGATCAGGTGAAAGGTGGTATGATTCAAGATGGTTCAAGGACAGCCAGAACAGCTGTATTTTGACCCGGGGCAGAGAGACCCTAGCTTCTAGCTTCAGAAGAGAGGTCATTGAGGGTTGTTGTGGATTCACTTTTGGAATGTTTTGGATAATTTGGGGTTTTCATTCAAACAGAAAGACGTAGAAAGATTGTGCCATTGGTCTTTGCCATTCTGAAGTTTCTTGCTGGTATGCCCGCCATTATGGATTTGATTGACCGAGTCTTGCAAGCCATTGGTTGCCAGAGCTGATCACCGCTTCGAAGCACCAGCAAACAGATGGATGGCTCAAATTGCATTTTCATTCTCAAGAGTGGTCGTTGTGAAATTCGGTGGTGAATGCAGATGGAATAATTGTTTTTCCCCAAGAAGTGTGTCCACACTGAGGGGTTCTTAGATGTTCTTACGATAGGGGGAAAAGGCCGGGTTACATCAGGGTACCCTTTGTGGTCTCGGCTTTTGTTTGCGCAGGCTCGCACAAAATGTGGGACACGATTTTGGCCCTTGTGAAGGTCTACTTTTACCGGCGCGCAGTGATCGGTTTTTGAGCAATGTCCATTTTTCGTGGCAGGCGTGGTACTATAGGGAAATTTTGAGGTATGGAAAGTCGTTTTGCGTGACAGGTGCGGGACATCGGACACTTTGTCATCGGTGTGGCAGGCATGGCACTTCCGGCACATTGCTAAAATGTTGGCAGGCGTGGGCCGAAATGAGAGGTTGTTTTGGAGGTCATTTTTCGTGGCAGCGAATTTTGGCCAACGTTTTGAAAGGGTGGAGAGTCTCGTTTGGTGAAACTGTTGTCATTGATTTGGTACATGATGAGGATTCCGTGTGGCAGGTGCAGCACTTCGGATGCCTCGGGCTCATTTTTCGCAGCAAGCGCAGCATTTTGTAGAAAAGTGCCAAAAACCCAGGTAAAACATGGTAAAACATCGATTTTGAAATGTGGCGAAAATCTAACATGTGCTCACGCAACCCTCGGCACTTGGTGCTCGTCGGATCGCTCTCGTTGTCGTGGCGCGGTGCGAATTTTGACATGGCTCGCGCGACCTTCTTGTGACTTTGTGCGTGTCGGATCGCTCTCATTGTGGCGCGGTGCTGATTTTAACTGATCCCTTAGATCCTGGTAAAGCATGGTAAAGCGATCTTATGAGTTCTCTGGAATGTCGTTCGATGACGAGATCTAGTCCATGGTGCAGTCTTAGAGGTCCGTAATATCATATGAAGATCTTGACCAAGGTCTTGTAGAGGTCCTTGTGAGAAGATCTTGTGGAGATCCTGGTGAAGTCCTCTCTATATATCTTGTACAGGTCCTTAACAGAAATTTTTTGTGAGAGTGCTAAGTGACGAGGATACCGTCTACTCATCTTACTTCCTCACTTGCCCAACTGCTTGCATGCAAATAGACTGCAAGTACTTGTTGAACCAGATAGACTTGAGGACCCTGGCACACCTACTCGTTGCTTTGCCACGGACACTGGCTGGATAGCAAGAGTTACACTTCCTTCAACCATGCCCATGCGCTCCCCAGACTGGCATTGGAATGATTTCATTTTGAAGCAAGAGTTCCAGAGGTAAGGCTTTGAAAAAGGCAATTATACATACCAGTGTCGGTTCCCTGCATTCTCCATGTCTGACTCCAGCCATTCCAGCGTTGGCCATGTCAGGTTCACACTCCTTGACTTCAACGACAAGGTCGCTTGACTGCTTGCGTTTGGTTCCCAGCGCGCCTTTTGCATCCTCTTGCTGGCGACTACAGCCGGGCGAAATGTCCCTTGGACGCCGACTCGAGCGATGTGGAAGTAAGTTGGGGAAAGATGATGAAATGAGACGAGGTCACTTAAAATGAGTGCTTTTGTGTTTACATTTATGCAGGGTTTTGGGGCATTGCTGTCCTCAACATCTTTTTTTCTTTGGTAAGCATTGTAATCCACCTAGCTGCGGCTGTTTAAGCTTTTTGCAATCTTGATTGGCCGCACGCAGTGTACGATAATAGAAACCATCTATGTAGGTAAATTCTTAGTTGACCCTTAGGATAAAGAAATATAGAAGGATAACAAAAACCTTCTACCCAAGATATGCTGTTGATTGACTCTGTGCATGGAACGGCGGACGAAAACCTTGTGCTAAGAGACCTCCCATTGAAAGATAGCAGCAACCTTTTGGTCTGAGATGGTCTTGCTGTATCCCTTTTATGGAATGCTCACGCCCCCAACAAAGTTGCAATCTTGGAAATCATTCCCGGCGAGCCTGTAGTCACATGGAGATAGCTAGCTATGAAGGTTCCTCTTTGATATG